AAAGGGGGTGCCCGCTGACTGACCTAAAGGGGGGGGTGTCCGCTCCAGTCATGCTTCAGTGATTCCCTATATAATCAACCAAATTTTTCCCACGAAAAGGGGGGGGGGGGGGGCATGGGTCCCCCAGTCCCCCTGGATCCGCCTATGATGTACATTTTCTCAATTCCCGTGTGACTGAAGAGAGGGTGACTAATTAGAATTTATTTTCCCGATTTTTTTCTTGCAGTATAGCAAACAAAATTTTTCACCCATTCGCTCAACATGTAATGGAAGTATCGATGCCTACATTTTGGTCACGTGGGGATGGAAGTCACATGATGACAGATGTATCTGTCATAACTAAATACTGTATTTCAGAACTGGGGTATCATTTCATGGTTTTTGATGTCTAAGGGGATTAGCTGTTTCCCTAATCAATTGGTAGTTTCTTCCTGAGATAACCCAAAGTTTGGACCGTGGTATAGAAATATGGTCATGATGGTTATCACTTAAGTTTCCTTCCGACCGTAGAGAGAGTGCCAAGCTCTCTGCATGTAAAGAACCCTTAAGCTATCAACAACTCTTTGAGGGGCCTGTAGGTGGCCTGCTGCATGGCCAAATTTCTGTTCCTATCCAAAATACCCTCATTTTCCTGTAGTGATCAACATTCTAGCTCCTTATCCCAGTTGACCCACTATTGCAGGTCATATCTTTTGTTATCACTGTTAATTTTGTCTCGTTCTGAGCATGCACAACACATTTGCCACTGGACATAAAGTTACCAACAATCAGTACTAGTAAATCTTAAAAATCCTTTATTGTAGAATTTTTGGCTTTCCTTTACCAGGAATACAGCTTGGCATTTAATGATATCTTTTGGATTCCAATTTTGTTCTAACTGTTTCCCTTTCATTGTCATGGCATTGTGCAGAATCTGAGGTGACCTTGTCCCTTATTTTATATATATATCTTTAACACTTTTATATTTTGAGGATGAGCAAATCATGCGAGAGTATGTGTGTTCATACCTTGCTATGAAGAGCATTTATCCATCTTTTGGGCTAACTTTCTGGTAATTAGATCTGTCATAGTCATGCTTTGCGGGGCACTGGGTGTACAAATGCTCACATTAAAACTGTACCGTTACAGTGTACTAAACCTCCTAAATATCTTTACACCAAATCTCATTTTGATGTTGCACATAATCAGAAAGGAGAATCATACAGTAACATGAGTAAGAAAAGATACATACATACATACCATCAATAATTTTATTAGATTAAAAGAATCTTAATGAATTTTATAATCATTTGACAAGACAAATTGAAAAGGAAATAGATATAAGAAGATGTGGTATGAGTGCCAATGAGACAACTCTCCATCCAAGTCACAATTTGTAAAAGTGAATCATTATAGGTCAAAGTACGGCCTTCAACTGGGAGCCTTGGCTCACACCGAACAGCAAGCTATAAAGGGCCCCAAAAATGACTAGTGTAAAACCAACGGTCTAATCTATATAAAAAACGAGAAACGAGAACACCTATGAACCACACCAACAAACGACAACGACTGAACATCAAGTTCCTGACTTAGGACAGGTGCAAACAAATGCAACGGGTTTAAACGTTTTAATAGGCGCCAACCTTCACCCTAACCTGAAACAATAGTGTAACATCACAACATAGAAAGACACACTATAAAATATCAATTGAAATGGCTTAACTCAATCAAAAGACGGTAGGTTTCAAGAAAATTAACAGACATATTTAGTGTAAACTGTACATGTAAGAAAGAAGACAATTTAGCTTCAACAAATTCCGCTCCAGAAAATATAATGCTTTCCTTACTGTAGGACAATTATTTAGGCTTCGTGGTTTCAACAATTAAAGCTTTTTACATCTGACATGAGTGACAGGAGCAGAGAGAGAAAGGATCGAATGTTCTTAACGTTACTTCAGTTGTACATGTACCTAAACATGCATCAGTTTCACAAGAGATAAAAATTTTAAACATCATTCAATTGTTGGCTACAGGTTGACGTCTCACTCCAAGTCATAACGATAAATATATATGTATACAAAAGTACAATTATAGATCCATGAACAAGATGCATGAGTGCAGCATGACTGCAGGTACCTTTCTATCAATTCAAAATCAGCTTTTGCATATTCATGATATTAGCAAAATTATGACATGGAAAGACTAACTTTTGATGTTTTGAATTTTTCAGCTGTAATCCATGCCGTAGCATTAGGTGATAACTTTCTTTGAAAAGTAAAATGTCAGGGTTAAAGGTTAGTTCTGTTATTCTGTAATAGCTTGAAAGGACTGACCACTTTAAAAGAATTTGAAAACTAAAAATTTAAAAGAATGGTTAAGCATAAACACCAAAAGGTCATTAAAACAGAACAGCCAAATCTGTCTAAGATCAAGTTTGCCTGATAGAATCACAACCTTGGTTTTATAACCATGATATCAATTATATAATTTTGCAAACTGGGAATTAACAGACAGAATGTATCATTTAAATAATGTCAATACAAAAGCACTAGCCAGGGCAGATGATTATGTATGTTGACCTTTAGTTGTTAACTTCTATGTCATTTGGTCTCTGGTGAAGAGTTGTCTCATAGGCAATGATACAACATCTTCTTATTTTTATATATACATGTATTAAAATAGTTGAGATAAATTAATCTGCTGAAAATAGGCCATGCGAACTTTTGCCATTGCTTTGTATTCATCGGTCATACATAAAATCTTCTTTTAAAATCTTCTCTTCAAAACTGCTCAATGGATTGAAACCAAAATGTGTCTGCTTCATCTGTTGGATATAAACTACAAAGTTTGTGATTTTTGTCATGGTTGATCAACCAACATGACCATCATGTCTAAAAAAAGAACATCTATAGGGTTCAGACTACAGTTTCAGCTAATATCTCTAAAACTATAGCAAATAGAGAAAAAACTGACAGCTAGAAATGATCAACACAAGAAGTTCTATCTACCCTTAAAATTTTGGAAAAATCTGTCTACCTTTTTTGAAGTTATCTCCCCCTTAAATGATGATTTTTTAACTTTTTAGCAAGTGAGCTTTTGCTCTTCTACCCAGAAAAATCTTTTGACCTGTTATTGTCCCTGAAATATCCATTTTTTTGCAGTTTTTGGATGTTATTCTGAAAATATTGAGGAGCTAGGTTAAATGGGTAAATTGCAACCCTGAAAATTTCTGAAAAATCTGTTTACCTGTTTTTGAGTTGCCCCTGAAATATATTTTTTTATCCAGTTGTTTGCATGTTTTTGCCTTTATTTTGAAAACTATCGGATCCAGAGCTAGGTTTAAATTGTAAACTGAAAAATGATCAGCATGGTACATGTGATAAGACCTATCTTCTCTGAAAATTTTATAACCTGTTTTGGAGTTATTGCCACTGAAATGCTCATTTTACTGGTTTTTTTTTATAGTTTTGGCTGATAACTAAAAAACTATAGGAGCTCGGTTAACGCATAAATTGAAAAATTGCAAAAATGTCCAGCAACACAAAGTTATATAAGCTACTATAGTATGTGCATTTAAAGGTCCTAATTAGTATACTGGTGATGTTGTCACCATTTATAGGGTACGGGCACAGGTGTGCCACTTGACCTGTGCCTCTTGTTTATTGAGCTTCCCGTCCTTTCAAGGAAAACTTAGTTACTGGTGTGGCCTATTTGAAATAGATTTCTCAGGAATAGTTCACCTTTTCTGATCACAGTACTGCAATCACAGCAAAAATAGTTTTAAAATAATAATTAGGGATTTGTGAGATTGTCTACTAAAATATCTTCTGTGAAATAACCAAACTTGGCTGTAATATTCAAAAGTATGTCTAGCCTGTCAACACTCAGGTTATGAGTTCGAATCCTGCATGTGATAGGTGTGCTCAATTCCAATCTTAATTGACTAGGATTGGCAGTTTTCCTGCTGAAGGTCATGGTTCTCTCTGGGCAATACGGCTTCCTCCACCAAAAAAAAAACTGACGTCTATGAAATAGCACAATAGTGCTGAAATAGGAATGAAACACCAATCAATCAATCAAATAAGGTTCTGTTAAACTTTTATATGTACAGTAGAAAATGTTTAATTTTTCAGGTCTAAATTTATAAATCCTGAATTTTAACATTGATGCTTAAGATGATATTTACCTAAATACAGAAGTTGAATTAAAATTTTTGCTATGTCTCTACCATGTTTACAGAAAAAAACTTTTTACTCTTTTTTTTTAAAGACTACTCAAGTTTGGGTTATTTCCCTTTAGCCACATTATAATTGATATCAAAATTTATCCTATTACAAATATTATCAGTCAAAACTCTTTTCATCCTGAAAATGAGTTCTCCATCAGTATTCTCTAAATAGCCAGGCTAATACACCCCTTTGAGTTTAGGGAGCTACCATTTGATTTTTATGGAGGGGCTAGGATGAAAAATTTTGTCCTGCATTTTTTTTTAGTTGTAATCTCTGTCCTGCCTTTTTATTTTTCACTCTATTTGGTCCTGCCTTTTTTTATTAGTTTATCCTGACTTTGTTTACATAAATTGTCATCCTGCCTTTTTTTTTGCCAAGTTGCTCATCCGGCCTTTTCATTTTGCCAAGTTGCTCATCCGGCCTTTTCATTTTGCCAAGTTGCTCATCCTGCCTTTTTTTTTTACTCAAAACTCCTGTCCTGCCTTTTTTTCAAATTTCATCCTAGCCCCCCCCCCCCCCCCCCCCCCCATAAAAATAAAATGGTAGCTGCCTTCTATGCCATGAAAGGAATAATTTCTTTTAAGTGAAGGCCCTCCTTAAGAAAGTCATAGGTCCTGTAAAGCTTCAGTGTAAAGTAAGGGAGGTCCTCAATTGTTTGTATAAAAAAAAAATAAAGGTTCCCTCCCAGGGAAGTAACAGGTCACGTACATTTGATCCTAATTTATTTTAACCCCTGTATATTTTTTGTTACAGATTGAACAGAACTTGGATCTATTCGATGAAGATGTTTTAATGCTTGCTGATAGAGACCCATTTTTACAAGAATATGCTAACATTGATAAGTTCAGAAGTACTAAATATTACATTAAAACTAGCTTTCATAAAAAGATTTTGGCTTTATTGACAACGAAAAAACAGAATCTAGACGAAAAGATAGAATACATGAATGGAATTCAAGGGATGGGGAAAACCACTTCTCTAATATACTTTGTCCTGCAATGTTTAAATCTTGAAGTTGTAAAAGATGATATTGACAAAATAATGAGTCTTACTGAAAGTGATGCTTCCAATTCAAAGGGATTTTTGATAATTGATCATTGTTCATTGGACAATTTCACGTTGCTGAATGAGATTAAAAATGTCTTCAGAAAAAAAGGCAAAATGATAGTATTGGAAACAGACTTTGCTGCTAGCTTTCATGCATATGCATTAGAATTGGGAAAAGACATACAGTTGAAAGAAGAGTAGTTTAGCAGTATTTGGAATGTATCTTTTAATTCAGTAGGTGAAGAAACTTCTGAATCTCTTAAAGGGAAAGGGAGAGAGGTGTATTCATTTATCAATGGACGATACATCATATCACCAAGGTTACTGAAATATTTTCAGACACAAATACTTTATGGCAGATCTATAGCAGATGCTTACGCCATGTATGAGATTTATCAAAGAAATAAAATTCAAGAATTCACCATAACCGGAGATAAAGAGTGTAGTCATACTCGAGCTCTTGTTCATTACATACCAGACAGTGGCCATATTCAATTTTCCCTGCACATGCTCAGAAAGAATTATTTATTGCTTTAAATATATTTGAAACGAAAAATTGTGTTGTATTGAAAGATGACCTTGAAAATGATGTCAGATATATGGAATTTGATCTTGAGGAGGGTGACAAATATAGACAGGTTAGTCATCTTGTTCCAGAAGTTTGAGTTCATTTTAGAAGGAAACTGTCATGTGATATTGGACACGTGATAGAAATGATTGATGATCAGGCTTTATTGATAATGTTTCAGATTTGCATAAACTACAAAGATGTTAATCATATATAACAAGTAAAGTAACTTGAAAGAAATGACAATTTCAGTAGAACTTACGGTCACTTTTTATTATAAGATTTTTTTGAGAAAATAGTATCTGACCTTACAGTACACTATGTTCATCTCTTGGCATCAGTTATTCATCTTCAATTTTTTGCATTTTATACTCTCTGCATCCATTTTTTGAAACAAATCTAAACCATATTTAAAAGGAAAAACATGTGTTACATTGTATGAAGATTCACTGTTTTTGTCTGAATGAATATATATATATATATATATATATATATATATATAAAGCATGGATGTTAGAAAGAAACACTTTCTTTTTTCTGATTGGTTTATTGTCGGATAAGACCAAATATTTTAATTGCAAATGGGAAACAATGTTCTTGAGATTGAAGCTATGGCGAGCACATGGAAAGCATTTTGCAATCATAATGAGCCCTGTCTGAAGCATTTGTATGTAGAAATTGTAATGGGGGAGAGGGCAAGTTTGACCCCCTGATGCCTCCACATGTGCCATTAGTCTGTAGTTCAGTTGTTGTCGTTGTTTTCTGTCTGTAATTTCTTTGTATTGTCTGTATAAATCAGGTTCTGGTTTGAATTATTTTACAAATATAGCCCACCTGGCCCAAAGGGACAAGTGAGCTTTTCTCATTGTTAGTTGTCTGTTAACTTTTACAAAAATCATCTCCTCTAAAACTTCTATGCCAAATTTAACCAAACTTGGCAAGAATCATCATTGGAGTATTTAGTTTAAAAATATCTTTGTTGACCCTGCCTGCCATCCAAGATGGCTGACATGGCTAAAAATAAAACATAGGAATAAAAGGCAACTTTTGCCTATTATCCTAAAAACCATAATAAATAGAAAAAATCTGACAGGAGCAAAAAAGTTCAGATTGTTGAGTTCTACCTATTGTCTATTTACAAATGTACGTCAAAAATGTCAGACGAGTTCTTATAGGAGTTATTACCCTAAAATGACAAATTTTACCATTTTAATTTTTTTTGCCTATTTTAATGGAAATTAATTTATAATAGATAGACAGAAACTTTGAAAAGCAAAAATGATCAGCAATACAAGATCTACAAATAAGTCACATGACCAAAATCGTCAGACAACTCCTTATTAGAGTTAATGCCCTTTTATTGCAACTTTTTGCATTACTGCCTTATATCTTAAAAATGATAACAGATAGAATAGAATCTTTGAATAGTACACATGATAAGCGGAGATCTTTGGCCAAATTGTAATTGGAATTAATGCCCTTTAATGATATTTTTTTTACATTTAATAGCATGTCTCGAAAACTATCATAGATAAATAGAAACAATAAAAGGAAAAAATATTAATAGGATGAGATCTACAAATATGTCAACCAGGGATGGGATCGATTACTTTAAAATGTAATCGATTAAATAACAATTACTTTGCTAATTTAATGTAAACGATTACATTACAATTACACCTAAATTCAAATGTAATCGATTACACATGAATCGTTACATGATCACTTTTTTCAGCCATCATAATTACTTTGGATTACATTGTATGTTGTAATATTAAAGAATTTCATATAAACTTTTTATCCTCACGAAAAAGCTAATTTTTGTGAAAGTCTGTTTTTTTTTATAATCTTAATTTATTCATCTCATTAATATTAAGAATTTGGACTACTAGGAGCAGTGTAACATGTGTAAGGTTTGATAGCATAAACAAGTGTCCTTTTCTTTGTAAAAGTTATAACATTGTTATTATAACATTTTTAGCCTACTGCCCAATAAACAAAAAACCTGAACATATAATGAAAAATCAATTAAGTAGTTTTATTGTCTGTTGGGATATGATTGACACGTCTTTACGTTTTTACAGGTGTTAATCACTACTTCAATTTTTATGCCCCCGCTGTAGCGGAGGGGGCATTAAGTTTTACCCTTGTCCGTCTGTACCTCCGTAAGTCCCAAAACTGGTTTCCGTTCTCTAACTTAAGTTTGCTCAAACAAATATTATGAAAGTTATGCACAATGCTTATTACCACAAACACAGATCAAGTTTGAATTTCGGTGGCGTCACTTTTGCCGTTCCAGAGTTATGCCCCTTTACAAATGGACAAATTGCTTAATTTTTCGTTTCCGTTCTCTAACTTTAGTTTGCCTCAACTCAATGTTATTAAACGTAAACACAATGCTTATTACCACAAAACACAGATCAGGTTCGAATTTCGGTGGCGTCACTTTTACCATTCTAGAATTATGCCCCTTTACAAATGGAAAAATTGCTGAAAAATTTCCGTTTTCTAACTTTAGTTAGTCTCAATAAAATGTTATTTAACTTATACACAATGCTTATTACTACAAAACACAAATCAGGTTTGAATTTTGATGGCATCGCTTTTACCGTTCTAGAGTTATGTCCCTTTACAAATGGAAAAATTGCTGAATTTTTAGTTTCCGTTCTCTAACTTAAGTTTTCCTCAATCAAATGTTATGAAACTTATACACAATGCTTATTACCACAAAACTCTGATCAAGTACAAATTTTGGTAGCATCACTTCTACGGTTCTTGAGTAATGTCCCTTTATAACGTTATATGCAAGCGGGGGCATCATCTGTGTCCCATGGACACATTCCCCATGTATTTTGGCAAACAATAGGTGAGCTTGGGTATTAAAAAATAATTGTCTTAATTGCAATATCTATAAAGTTATAAGTTGATTAATTTCTATGTAAAAAACTATATAATTGTTTGAAAAATGTCAATAATTGATATAGTAAGAAAGCACATATCAAATTATTTATGGAAAACAAAATTCCTACAAATTGTAAAAAAAACAAAATTTGGTTCTAAATTATTAATCAAGTGGGCTTATTTATGTCGATCTTGAAAGTCAAAATTGGAACTAACGTGCTATGCTATTGGATTTCCACGTAGTTATACCAAAATATTGTGTACAATAAACCTAGCAGTAATTATCAGAAGTGTTCAATAAAGAAACACAAGACACTTTCAAAGCATAGTCTTGTATTACAAGAACTCAATCTCAGAATGAAACATTTGGAAAGGTAAATTCCTTTAGTTAACTGTTTATACAAAATAAATCACAGATTTTCACTCTGCATACCTAACTTGGTTATACTAAACTTGTTATATAGATGATATGATCAATCACATTGAACAACGATCCATCGTAGTGAATACTAGTTACTAGTTTGATAATTTTTCGATTAAGCTTCACATCTTCTTATTTTTATATTGGATATCAAAACTATTTTCCTATACAAAATTTGTCATCAGCAAGTAATCATATGAATGTAATCTTAAAGTAATCTAAAAGTGATCATGATTACACCTGTTTTTATACGCCCGTTTACGGGACGTATTATGGTATACCGTTGTCCATCTGTCCGTCTGTCCGTCCGTCGTCAACATGTCGGACATTGACTCAAAAACGCTTTAACCAATTTGCATAAAACTTTGGTAAATTGTTTATATCTATTGACGTGAGCTCCCTTTCGTTTTTTATAAATTTTAGATTTTACGTTTCCGAGTTGGGTTTTATTCATTAAAAAAAGGGGGATTTTCCAGTTTTCGGACAATAACTCAAGAATGCTTTCACCAACTTGCAAGAAATTTTGGTTAATTGTTTATATCTATTGACATGAGCTCCCTTTTGATTTTTATAAATTTTAGATTTTACGTTTCCAAGTTACGGGGTTTTATTCATAAAAAAGGGGGGATTTTCCAGTTTTCGGATAATAACTCAAAAATGCTTTCAGCAGTTCTCATGAAACTTCGATGAATTGTTGATATCTATTGATGTAAGCTCCCTTTAGAATTTTATAAATTTTAGATTTTACATTTCCGAGTTATGGGGTTTTATTCATTAAAAAGGGGGATTTTCCAGTTTTCAGACAATAACTCAAAAATGCTTTCAGCAATTCTTATGAAATTTTGGTGTATTGTTTATATCTATTGATGTAAGCTCCCTTTAGAATTTTATAAATTTTATTTGTTTAATGTCTGACAACAGTTTTAGTAAGTATTGCGCAACAGCATAGTGTATTGCACAACAGGAAGAACTCTTTAATTGAATGTAAATTCAATTCATATAACCAATTTCAAGTTCTTTGACTACATTTATTCAGAAACCTATAATATGTCAAATATTTAATTACAATCCAAATTCAGACCTGTATCAAGCTTGAATATTGTGTCCATTTTTGCCCCAACTGTTCAGGGTTGAACCTCTGCGGGCGTATCCAGCTGCGCTCAGCGAAGCAGTTTATTTACATTGTAATCGATAATTTATATGCATATGTGTACAGTATCTTTCTACATATAATTTTCGAATTATCAAAATCACATATTCAACCTTTGAGCATTACTCAAATCAGGTTAAGGCTATTCTAGAAAAAAAAATGTATGGGGGTAAGAAGGCACTTAAATTATTGGAAAAATTGGAACTTGTTCTATCTTTCTATCTTTCCTAAGGCACTGGCCTCTCTAACAACAAGTATCTAAGCACAGGTTAGCTACTAAATCTACAAAATGTACACACACTGAAATATAGTTCCCTATAATTCTTATGTCTTTGCACATATGCACACATAAACTGTGAAAAATTTGGATATATTTTTGGAGCAGTTCATTCAAGTATGTATGTCCTTAAGGTGTGTTGATGTGCAGGCTTTTTTTAATCATTTTCATTAGGTAATTGAGTAATGATACAGTACTAGTATGATTGACAACTGTCATGATCACCAAACAATCATAGACAAGGTGGGGCCTCAATTACAATGCCTCACCTCCTTAAATGCCAATCATATTGACCACATTACTTATCAACCTCAGTCTTACATAATTATACACATTCTCAATATAAATCTCAATACACTCTCAATATACAAATATTAGACCTCATAATTGAATACACAAATGTATATATTAGATGTTTGATATATAGAGATGATAGATTTATTAATTGCCTATTACTTTTGATCTACACTACATAAAGTGATCCTGTAAATTATGTCTAAAAGATGAATGACTAATTAAGGATTAACAAGATCTTTTTTTCAAAAAAAAAAAAAAAATGAAATCGAAATATAAATAAAAAAAAAGGTATTCAAGTAAGGCCTATAATTTACTTGATAAATCTGCAACTATCATCTGTAACTAGACATCATTGAGATGGGAGCCATCTCTGTGTGCCCCGCTGTTAATAACGTGTACAAAATTTGTATCTTTACCATAGGACATTGGGTTGTAATCTGAAACCAAAGTTTTTGACCTTGACCTTTGACCTAGGAAGTTGTACATACATTATAGCACACCCTCTGGTGTTGGTTAATATACATGTCAAGTATAAACTTTGAAATCATAACGGTTATCAAGATATAGAGCGGACACGATCTTTACCATAGGACATGGGGTTGTCAACTGAAACCAAAGTTTTTGACCTTGACCTTTGACCTCGGAAGTTGTACAAACCTTATGACACACACTCTGGTGTTAGTTTATATACATGTCAAGTATAAAGTATGAAATCATAACGGTTCTCTACATATAGAGCGGATACAATTTGTTACGGACGGACAGACTGATCACTTTAGGGCGAGCTGCCATTCGGCTGGGCCCTAATTAATCAACAATTTAGGTTAGTTCACTTATTTGTTTTTCCAGTGATTGGCTTGAAACAGTTAGTAAAATTTTAAAACTCTTAATTAGAACAAAACAAAATTTTGTAAAGTTTATTCCCCATCAAATGTCTGTTAACAATTTTAGTCATTTGAATATAAGAAGTGTATATATATTTTAGCAATCAAGAAAGAATCCACTTTTCAATAAAATAAGTTTTTTAATTTGTTTATGTTGAAAAAGTACATATTCAACGCCCTTTGCTGAAAAATATTTAAATTATAAATTGATTAAAATACGCTCTACAACTTTTAATCTTCAATGTCATATAATCATGATAATTGTTTTCAAAATTAATAAGCAATTCTCAGAGGAGAAAAATAGTAAACCTATGTCTCAACTTACAAAATGCTCCAAAACAACCTTTTTCGATTAATTTTTTGACACAATAAAGTTCTTAGCTTCAAGTCTATCTGTTGGTCCTATGTCTTACAAAGATAACTGGTAAACTTTATTAGAAGAATCTTTGATTTGCATTTTTTTTTCTTTTTTTTTTGAAACATGTAACAGGGAACATTATTTGGTTAAGATATAAACTGCAGTTTAAATGAAATTGTTGTGCAAATTAAAGGACCCCCTATCATTCAATTTGATTCACATTTAGCTCATTTTATCTACTGGAAAAGTGCTTTTCCTTCTAAAGACCTGCAGTTAATGCAATTGTCAGAAATAATGCTTTATTAATGTTCTTTTTTGTCCACACCATACCTAAATATGATTTGAAATTATTCAAACTATTTTTCCAATCTTTCCATGAATGATTTCCATCAATTTGATTTTTGTATGGGTAACAAAGTTCAAATTGTGTGCAAAGTGAATTGCAATTGTATTGGTGATGGCCAAAGAAAAAATGCCTTCCAACCTCCCACACCCCCCTTCCCACCACCATATAGTTAATATCTTCGTTATTTATCTTATGGTTTCACAATAAATCAAACAATTTTGTTTATCCTACATATGTAAATAAACTCATCATAGATACCAGGATTGAAATTTTGTATTTGCGCCAGACGCGCATTTCGTCTACAAAAGACTCATCAGTGACGCTCGAATAAAAAAAAGTTAAAAAGGCCAAATAAAGTACGA